ATGGGGCTTTCTGAAAAACCCCCTCCCCCCAAACCCCCCTTGGAACCCTCCTGTTTTCGACCGCCTGGCCCTCGGCTGGCCGTCGGCGGCGCCGGCGGCCGCACGTCGGCCGGCTGCCCGCCGCCGGCCGCCGGCGCGCGGGCGGCTGCTCGGCGGGCTGGCCGCCGCCCGCTGGCGGGCCGAGCTGCCGCCGGTGCGCGGCGGGCGTTGTCGCCGGGCTTCTGGGGCCACGGTCGTTCTGGTTCGGGAGGTGCCGCAGAAGGGTTTTTTCCCAACCATCCTGCGTTGGGTTCTCGTTTTGAATAGAGCACTGCTCGCGCGTCTCCTTCCTTCCTTCCCGTCCCTCTCTTCCCCCCTGCCTGTTACCTCGCTCGTCGCCATCCCTGGGGGGCTGCGATCTGTGAAACTGTCGCCACTTTCGAGGCCTGCTGGGGGGCTTCTGGGGCTGCGGTCGTTCCGGCTCGGGAGGTGCCGCAGAAGGTTTTTTTCTCGTCCAGGGGGGGCTCTCGCGTCGTGTTTTTCTTTCCGCGGTGATGATCATACGGCAGGTTCGTTTCGTGTCGACTCGGCCGCGACCCCGCGGCCGCCGTTCCACCCTGAACGCCTGCGCCCCAGACTCGGTCGATGCTGCGCGGTTTGACGACGCGCGGAAGCGGCCGATCGTTCAAGCTTGGACGGGATCCCTGCGGTGTCGGAAGCCAGCGCCGGGGTCGGCACGGCACGAGCCGGTCGCACTGCAGTCTTGCTTTACGTCGGGCACGTCCTTCTACAGGAGGAATATTCAATGATACCGGGCTAGGGCTATAGGGCCATGGGGCTATAGGGCCATAGGGCCATGGGGCTATAGGGCTATAGGGCTATAGGGCTATAGGGCTATGGGGCTTCAGGGCTATAGGGCTGTAGGGCAATAGGGCTATAGGGCTATAGGGCTATAGGGCTATAAGGGTATAGGGCTATAGGGCTATTAAGGCTATAGGGCTATATGACTATAGTGCTATAGGGCTATAGCACTATAAGGCTGTAGGGTTATGGGGCTATGGGGCTACGGGGCTACCGGGCACCTGGGCACCCTTGCACCCCTGGGCACCCTGGGCACCCGGGCACCCTGGGCACCCGGGCTGGCCTCCGAAATCGGCGGCGACGCGCAGCTAACCATGTGAATCCGCTAGGACCCATACAGAGGCAAGCTCTGATTGAGGAAAAACAGTCCAAATATAGTATGGGATCATTTTTTTTTGTGTGTGTGTGTGATAATTTGCCCGTTTCGCCTGAGACTTCCTCGCAGCACGTTTCGCCCGAGACATCGTCGCAACTCTGGGGTCCGAGATGCCGCGCGCGAGGTGGTCCAGCCCGTTACGCTGGAGACATCCTCGCAACTCTAGGCTCCGAAATGCCGTTCGCGATGAAGAGGAGGTGGAGGAGGAGGAGGAGGAGGAGGAGGAGGAGGAGGAGGAGGAGGAGATGGAAGGGAGAAGGAGGAGGCGGATGATGTGCATGAGGGAGCAGGCAGGAGGAGGGGGAGGTCCCAGAGAGCTTCAGGAGGCCGCAGGACGCCCAGGACAGGCCCCAGGGGTCCGCAGGAGATTCCCAGGAGGCTCCCAGGAGGCCCCAGGAGGCCCTCTATCAGAACGTGTCAAGTTAATACACATCCGGTGTCGATTCGTTGATTTTTCCTGCTCCTGTGGCCCCCCCCTGTATTTGGAGAGGCCCAAACGGCCACAGGTTAGATATCCCCCCTGGGAGCCCCAAGATGCTTCAGGAAACCTCAGGTGGAGTTCAGGAGGCCACAGGAGGCCCGGGAGGAAGCCCCAGGAGGTCCCCAGGAGGCCCCAGGAGGCACCAGGAGGCCCCCGCAACTCGGAGCTCTGAGACGCCGCGCTCGAGGTGGTCCGGCCCGTTTCGCCTGAGACTTCCTCGCAGCACGTTTCGCCCGAGACATCGTCGCAACTCTGGGGTCCGAAATGCCGCGCGCGAGGTGGTCCAGCCCGTTACGCTGGAGACATCCTCGCAACTCTGGGTTCCGAGATGCCTTTCGGGATGAAGAGGAGGTGGACGAGGAGGAGGAGGAGGAGGAGGCATGTTTTAACATGCCATGCCAGCCCGCACTAGGCGGGCACGCAATCGACCTTGGAAACCGCAGTGGGTCTAAAAACCCTGTTTGGGGATACTGCACTCCGGCTATATATATTTATATATATATATATATATTTTTTTTTTGTGTGTGTGTGTGTGTGAGAGATAATTTTTGACCACTTTTGAATACAAGAGGCACGCGTGCCAAGGATCATACAGTCACGGATGCGGGACAATGGGATATGGAGATGGCGCCAACCTGTGGTAGTTTCGGGGAAGCGCGCGAGTGCTGCGACATGCTGGCGAGTGACCATAACGGGGAAGCGGCGAATAGCAGCATGGCTGTGTGGACGCACCGCAAGGTTCGATCTGCATGCAACCTCAATATGGCGTGAGAGGTTTGCGAGGCTCCAACGGCGAGTTTTACAATGCAGGACCTGTCTATGGAGCGAGACGTTTGGTCCCAAAAGGGGGGGGGGGCGCGATTGTATGCGTAGCCAAGATCCGCCACCGTGTTCTCAGCACGTTGTGGAGTGCCCCGATGCTCATGCAGCCCTGAGAGGCAGGGGGGTTGCAAGGTTCTTCGTAAGGGCCCAGGCCCTTGGTTTCCCAGGCGCTCTTGCGCGCTCTTGCGCGGGCCCGGGGTGTGTCGCGCGGGACGGACCGAGAGGGCCCTAGAGACTCCCAAGACGGTGGGAACAGTGCCCCGAGTCGTCGAACGATCGGTCCAAGACGCCCAAGATGGCCTCCAGACGGCCCAATGCGCCTTCAAGACGCCCCAAGAGGCCTTCAAGAAACCTTCAGAGACGGCCCTGAGATACAACAGAGTTTTGAAACATTGCTCGCTCTTGGGAGCCTTGGTGTGAAGAACTTGTTGCGTCACTTCGAGCTCGTCGGAACGATGGTGCATTTTGGCGTCGCGGTCGGTCGGTCGGAATTCGCAGAGAGGAGAGGGGGCAAAGGGGGCCACGGTCGGGCAGGGAGGGGAGGGGGGGGCACGATCGGTCGGTCGGAACAAGCAGAGGGTCGTCGTCTTTCTCCTCCTCCTCCTTCTCCTCCTCCTCTTCGTCCTCCTCCTCCTCCTCCTGGGGGGGGAACGGGGGGAAAAGGGAAGGGCACGGGGGGCCGCGGTCGGGCAGGGCAGGGACAACACGGTCGGGTGGTCGGAATTAAGCAGACCTGTGGGGGGCCACGGCAGGGAGGGTGGGGGGGCGCGGGGGGCCACGGTCGGGCAGGGGGTGGAGGAGGGGGGCACGGTCGGTCGGTCGGAAATAAACACGGAAGGGGGGCAGGGGGGGGGCACGGAAGGAGGGGGGTGGTGGGCACGGGGGGGCAAAGGCAGGCAGGGGAGGGGTCACGGTCGGTCGGTCGGAACAAGCAGAGGGGGGGCCGCGGAGGGAAGCGGGGGGGGGCACGGGGGGCCACGGTCGGGCAGGTGGGGAGGGGTCACGGCTGGTCGGTCGGGATGAGAGCAGAAGGGGGCGGGCACGAAGGGGGAATGGGGGGGGCGCGGGGTGTGTCGCGGTCGAGCAGAGGGGGGGGGTTGGTCGATCGGTCGAAGTATGCAGAAGGGGGGTGGCACTGGGGGGAGGGATGGGGGGAGGCGCGGCGGGGCACGGTCGGGCAAGGGGGGTGGGCACGGTCGGTCGGTCGTCATGGGCAGAGGGGGGGAGGGCGGGGGGGGGCAGGGTCGGGGGCGCGGAGGGCCACGGCCGGGCGGGGGTGGCGCACGGTCTGGCGGTCGGAATCGGGGAAGCACGGGAGGCCACGGTCGGGCATGGGGGGGGGCACGGTCGGCCGGTCGGGAGGAGCAAACAGGGGGGGCACAGGGGGGAAGGGGGGAGCACGGGGGGCCACGGTCGAGCGGGGGGGTCACGGCAGGTCGGTCGGAATAAGCAGAGGGAAGGGGCACGGAGGGAAGGGGGGGAGGCGGGGGGCCACGGTCGGGCAGAGGGGGGGAGAAGGCACGGTCGGTCGGTCGGGGTGGGGTGGGCACAAGTAGTGGAAGGGTGGGAGGCGTGGGGGGGTCACAGTCCGGCAGGGGGGTACGGTCGGTCGGTTGAATTAAGCAGAGGGCGGGGGCCACGGGGGGAAGGGCGGGGGCCCGAGGGGGCCACGGCCGAACACGGGGAGAGGGCACGGTCCGCCGGTCGGAGTGGGGAAACGGTGGGACGGAATACGCGGACGGGGGGCCACGGGAGGAGGGGAGGGACACACGGGGGGCCACGGTCGGGCGATCGGAGTAAGCAAAGGGGGGGCACGGGGTAAGGGGGGCCCACGGTCGGGCAGGGGGGGGGACAGTCAGTGGATTGGTCGGAACGGGGCCACGCGGGGAAAGGGGGGGGGGCACGAGGGGCCACGGACGGGCAGTAAGGGGGGGAGGAGGGCACGGTCGGTCGGTCGGAACAAGCAGCGGGGGGGGGGACGGGGGGAATGGCGAGAGGGGGCACGGGGTGCCACGGTCGAGCAGGGGCTTGGGCACGGTCGATCGGTCGGAATAACCAGGGGGGGGGGGCACGGGAGGAAGGGGGGCACGGGAGGCCATTGTCAAGTGGGGGGAGGGGGCGGGGGCACGGTCGGCCGGTCAGAGAAAACAGGGGGTGGGGCACGGGGGACGGGGTGCGCCGACAACACCGAGGCAGTGTCCCAGCACAGAGCACACCGAGGCAGTACAGCGACACGTCCCAGCACGCAGCCTGGCCCAGCACCCCGAGGCGGCCACGCATCCCAGCACACGGAGCCCAACACATATCCCAGGCACATCCGTAGCCATTTTGGCTCAAGTGTTGGCTCAGCCGTGGCGTTCTGCTCGTATCAGGCTCCCTGGTTCAGACAACCTTCGACCTTGCTCGAGCGCCGTGGAGATGGTGCTGACATCGACCCTGCTGCTCCTCCTCTGTGCCCCGCGCGCAGAAGCCTCCGCGCTGCCACACCTTCGCATCGCCGGCTCGTCCACGGTGAAGCCTGTGGCGGAGCAGTGGCAGAACGCGCTGCTCCTGAACTACACGATCACGCTCGAGGGGGGCGGCTCGAGCTCTGGGGCACGGCGCGTGCGTCTGCCAACGAGCGACCCGGAGCACGTGGATATCGGCGACATGTCTCGCGGGTGGAAGACCTCAGAAGCGCAGTTGCTGGACGACGGGTACACCTACGAGTGCCTCGAGAGCGGGAACCGGGTCACGCAGATCATGGTGGCCATAGACGGTCTGGCAGTGGCTGTCAAGAAGGATGGCGCGGCTCACACGTGCATCAACACCATCGGAGGACTAACGCTCGCACAGCTGCGCTGGATCTTCTCCGACTGGAGCGATGCAGAGCTGGAGAATGACGGCGTATCCATTGCATCGTGCGTGCCCAACATGGACGATGATGCTGTCAAGGAGTGGAGCGACTTGGACGCCAGGTGCGAGGAGACGCCGATCAACCCTTACGGCGCTGGCGACCAGTCCGGTACACACGACTTCTTCGGGGAGACGGTCCTGGGCGACTTCGGGGGGACAGAGTACTTCTCGGTTTGCGACACCGACGATTTGCATCATCTAGAGGGCCTCGACGAGGATGCTGCGGACCTCTACATTCAGTCGCAGCGGACTTCGAATTGCGTCATGCCCTCGGAGGATGACCATCTACTGCTGCAGTGGCTGCTCGCAGACACAGGGGGCATCGCATATTTCGGATACGCCTACTACGCCCAGTTCACCGACACAGTCGCTGCCATTGCGATCGCAAAGGACACGGAGCTGGGGGTGACAGAGACGCTCTTGGCCAAGATTGCACCCGACAGCGAGAGCATCGTCGACGGCTCCTACTCGGCGTTCAAGCGCGACTTGTACATGAACGTGTATAACAACGCATGGAACGTCTCTGGGGATTTTTTACTGTTCGGCTTCAGCGACAATGGACGAGCTCGTCAAGGAAACAGGGTACGTGTCTGTGAACAGGGACCAGCACGCCGATATGAGTGTCCGCATTGGAGTCGGCGTGGCGACTGGAGGGAACCTGGCGGCGGACTATGTGCCGGTACCTCCCGACAGCTGCGCTGTCGGGTCGGGCTTGATCTCATGGCCATACACCAACGACTTTGGGACGGACAAGACCGGCTACGCGTGCGAAAACTGCACGGCCGGCACGGCGAAGAACGACGACGAGTCCAGTCCTTGCGATCCTTGCCCTCCTGGCTTCTTCACGAACGAGACGGGCCAGACGACGTGCGAGCCGTGCCCCCAGGGCACCGCCGCCACGGAGCACGGCTGGAACAGCTGTTCCATGTGCCCCCTGAACGAGCACCAGCCGCTGCCCGGGCAGGGGAGTTGCCTGGCCTGCAGCGCCGGGCGCTTCACGGAGCTCCCCGGGCAGTCCGCTTGCATGTCGTGTGCGTTGGGCACCTACATGCTCCCGGGCGGCAACTACACCTGCGAGGCGTGCCCTGCGGGCATGACAACCATCGAGAGGGCGTCCACAGACAAGGAGAGCTGCAAGTGCGCCGAGGGGACCTACCTGATGGAGGGCGGCGGCCTGGACGGCCCGTGCGCCGTGTGTCTGGACGGCATGCAGTGCGCATTCGGGAGCACCTTCTCGAACTTCTTCGCCGTCGACGGTAGCGTGAAAGCGGCTTCAGATGACGATCAGCCGTTCCCGGTGGTCGAGGAGGGTTACATGACCCGGCTCCACGATTTGTTGAGGGTGTTCAAGTGTCCGGTCAAGAACCATTGCCCAGGTGGCGCGCCCGCTACCTGCGCCAGGGGGCGTGATAGCGGCGAGGTTGCTTGCGCAAGGTGCGAGGACTATACGTACGAGGAGGGTGACGAGTGCCACGCTTGTGAAACGAACGCCACGTGGCTTGTTGTTTTGGCATGCGTCATTGCCGTCGTGGCAGTTTGTGTTGGAACCATATCCGTGAATCGGAACTTGCTGATGCAAACGAGCTCGACTCTGATGTGTGTCATCATGGCTAGCCAGATGTTTCTCGGCCTCCAGACGTTTTCGGTCTACACTTTTTTCAGCCTGGAGTGGTTCGAACCCTTTGCGGAGCATGCTCAACATCATGTCTTTGATTAGCTTTGATCTCAAGGCTTTGCGCATATCCTGTTCAATGGGTTCCAACCCTACGTCTAATTATGCACTTCGGCAATTTGTTGCCCCGCTCGCGATCCCGTGGATATTCGCCACCTTGTTGGTCAAAAAACATTTCGATCCCCAGACGAAGCATGTCAGGGAGGCTGTCAACACCACCGGCACAGTCTTTCAGGTATTCTTCATCTCGATCGTGCTCTCAGTAACGGCCCCCCTGGTGTTTTACGACCACCCGAACGACGCTGGCAGTTCGCTCGTGAGCGATCCGGCCGTCCTCTACTTCGAGAGTAGCGATCATTATGCGATGCTAGCGGTTGGCATCCTCGCCATGGCCATGGTACCCTTGCCTTTCTTGTCGTTCGTGCTCTACGGCACTCTGATGCACCCGAAGTATGCAGTCGCGGTGGGCGCCGATACTCATTTTTCCGGGTTCGCCTCTTTCCGTTTCCTTTTCTTTCGTTTCAAGCCTTCTCGCTACTACTACGGTTTGATCATGCTTGTACGGAACCTGCTCCTCTGCCTCGTGCGCCCGTCATTATCGAGTCGGACGTCGCCGCTCAGGTCATGTTCACTTCCATCCCCATCCTTGCCACCATGGTGTTGCAGGTGGAGCTCGCCCCCTGGAAGGTGGCGGCTGCCAACTACGCCGACGCGGCCTGCAGCTCCACGCTGCTGATGGTCCTCATCTGCGGAGCGACGGCAGCGAACGTGAGCGTCGAGAACTCCTCGATCCCGGCCTTTGCCTCCGTGCTCGTCGGTTCCTTCTTTGCCGTCGGCGTTGTCGCCATCATGGCCTCGGCGTACTACTACTTCAAGCCCTTCCCGATGTATCCTTTCTTCATTTGTCATCACAGGGTGGGCGCCCAGGCGCAGGCACGGCTGCTGAAGATGATGCTGACGTCCAAGACAGGCAGGTTGGTCCTCACCGACACGGATGACCTCACGGAATTGGATTCGTTGTTCGACACAGTCAAAACGCAAGTTCACCACCTTAGGGGCACTTTGAGCAGGCCGTGGTGCGCTGGCGAGATCGTCACTGCATTCATGTGGCGCAAGCAGATCACTGCGGTCGTTACGGACAGTTTCGTCCCGCCGAATGAAAAGGCTTATGCGGACATGGCCAAGTACTTAGACTTGAGCAGCTGCTCGCTGAACCCCTTCGGCATCACGAACGACAGTGTTGCCTCTGCGTACCGCAACCTTATGAGCGACGACGTCAACAAAGTCCACTTGCGCAGTGACGTGAGAGGAATCGCTCGCTTCCAGCACGTTTCCGACTTCCTCAGCGACAGTGAGGCAGTGAGTGCCGAAGGGATTGAGACAGATGTTTTGGCCAGCGCCGAGCCCCTTCCCATGGAGCCCAGGGCAGTCTTGATCTCTTCAGAGCCCGGCAACGACGAGGCTTTGGCCACCGCCCTCATCCTTCTGCAGAAGATCGAGCTTCAGCTGAAGGACTTCGTCCCCGAGGGGGTACGGGTCATCGACGAGTATGCCGGGGACGACGGCGCGATGCTCCGTGCCGTGGAAGCCTCGCGCGCGCTGCTGGTCCTGCTCTCGCTAGGAACGCTCGCAGCCCCCGAACAGGTCACGGCGATCGAGCAGATCATGCTGTCGATCGAGAAGGCCGAGAATGCGGGTTTGCCACCTCCCGCCGCGATCTTCATGTCTTTGCCCGGTTTCCAGTTTCCCGCCGACGAGTTCTACAGCGAGAAGGTCCCGAAGTTGTTGGCGGAGCCGGCCGTGCTTCCACAAGTGCAAGATGTGTCGCAGGGGCAGGGGCCAGGAGCCAGGATCCGCTCGTTCTTCCAGCAGGGCGCAGTTCAATTCTCCGTCGGCGCTTCCGAGCGGATCATCGAGGCGCAGATCTTGGAGGTGGTGTTTCGCGTCCCCCGCTCCGAGGAGCAGGGGGACGCCAAGGGGCGGGAAGAGCACGACGTGAAGGAGGGAACCAGTGAGCAGGGCGACGGCGACACCATCCCAGCTGTTATCCATTTTTGTGTTTTTCCAGCCGTGAGGCTGCATATCCGGGCAGCGCGTATTTGCATTTCTCCCAAGCGTGATCCGGCAGATCCGGGCAGCGCGCCGGCGCGTATTCTTATCCTGTTGCCCGAGGGGCGTTCTGATTGCTGCAGGCACGCGGGTTGAGCATTTGTTTCTTCTCCTTCTTGGGCCGTGCGATTCGGCGGCGACCGCTACCCGCACGAGCCTGCCATGCAGGCGCGAGCCCAACCTCCAACTTCTGGCGAGCCCTTTTACCCGAATGCGGTCGATGGTTAGCCAATTGCTCTAAGTTGTTATGTTTTCCCCTCCTGCAGATTCAGAGTGTTTTCGGACAGTGAAATCCGCGCGGAGTTCCGAGCGCTGCTGACGTTGCCCCTCAGCCCCTCACCGTCGTGTATAGTTCAGAAGGGTGAGTTTCACATGCAGCTTTTCTTTTGCACCGATCGCGGGGCATGCACAGCCTCCAGGTGCCGTTTGCTCGGGAAGGAGTGCTTGCAGCACAAACTTGCAGATGCCCGCTCGACTCTCGGTTGTACTATTCAGGCTTGCACCCGCCGTGCCGTGAGGACCTCTCGCAGGTCATGGCAGCTGCGTCCTCTCGCCGAGGCGCCCCGTGATTATGTTGCACTGCAGCGTTTGGCTGCGAGAGTGGCCGCCGCAGCTGTGGCAAGGCCCCCACGTGGTAGTTGCGAATAGTTCTTGCGGAGGAAAAAACACATATCCCAGGCACGGTCGGTCGGTTGAAATGATGCAGTGCGAGATCGTACCAGTAGGTATGATCATATTTGGGTTCGTGTTGATTTTTCGCCCAAAATCCGCCTGTAGGGAAAATGCCCGACCTAAGTCTTGTCGCGCCGTCTGGCCTCAGGGTGGGGGGTCGCGAGGTGGGCTGGAGCGCGCCGCAGCAGGGTGTCCGAGCGCGCCCAGATCTGCGGGGGCCGAGACCCAGACCCCAGACGTCGTGATTTCTTCAGAACGTCGACCCCCAGAGGTCTGGAACCTACACCTGAGACCGGTTTTTCTTCCCGAATCGCTTTTTGACGGTCCCGAGGCCCGGGAAAGACCCCCGGAGACCGAAAATGACGAAAAGCTTCCCGTCGTGGTTTTTGTCGCAGCGTGAAGGGGTCCGGGGAGGCCCGGGTGCGAGCGGAGGGGAGCGGCGCGAGTGGCCCAGTGAGCGGAGCAGCGCGCGAGGGAGCGAGCGCCAGCACGGGCGAGCTGCCGGTGGACCTCCGACGACCTCCGGCGCCGCGAGGGGTTCGAGGCGGAGGCTTCTCGCGCTCTTCGGCCTCTGGGGGGCCTCTCGCTGGGCCCCGTGGCCGTGAACCAAACTGCTCCGGACGAGCGGGCCGAGGGGATGTTGCGCGACGGAAGTCCTCGTCCACCGTGGAGGTGGTGGTCGGGGGAGCCCTGTGCTGTCTTGGGTCCTGAGGCCGTTTCGAGTCGTCTCGGGCTCTGAGGCTCTTTCGAGGCTCGGGATGTAGATCGGTGCGTGCTCGGCACACGTCCGTGCACGCGTGCGCGGTGCCCGCGCGCGGGGCGCGCGCGGGGCGCTGCGGGGGCTCCGCGGATGGACCGCACGTGGCCCGCAGCGGCAGGGCGGAGGGGAGATGGTGCAGACCTCCCCCCCTCCTCCTCCTCCTCCTCCTCCTCCTCCTCCTCCTCCTCCTCCTCCTCCTGCTCCTCCTCCTCCTCCTCCTCCTCCTCCTCCTCCTCCTCCGCCTACTGCTCCTCCTCCTCCTCCTCCTCCTCCTCCTCGGATCCCGTATCGAGAAGCTCCAGACATCGGGCGTTTGGTCCGACGACACGTCTCTTTCAATCCCGGTGCTTCTCGTAGATTTCGACCTCCCGGGCACGTTATCGGGCCCCGGGGCCAGGAAGGTGATCGGCTGATGAACCTGGAAGGGAGTACAGAAATGTGAGGCATGGAGACGGTTTCAAGGCACCTGAATGGGCTACGGGCAGTTGCATGCTTAAGCTATCAATGGTGATGTACTGTGCCAGGGGCTGTGTTGTTTTGCGCTGTGCTGAATTGAGATGTGCCATGCCGAGTTCAATTGAGCTGTGCTCTATTGCCTTGTGGGCCAAGTCGACCTTGATATCCAAATCCTGACCAAACTGATATGGATCTCAAGCTCGAGCTGCCTGAACGCACAGTTCGCCCAGAGCTGGTTACAATTGACACGTGCGGTGCGCTCAACCAGCTCGAGCTCAAGACCCGATTCAGTTCCGAAGCATGACGAACCAACAGGAGGCGAACCCGAACCGAGGCGAAACACACTGACAGTGGACGAACCGAAACGCGGCGAAACGAGACGCGAAGAACTGAGACAGGACGAGTCAAAACAGTATGAACCGAAACGGGGGCCGAACCGACCTTAACCGAGTCGAAGCAAAACGAACCGAGCTTGGGATGCAAACTCTGCAAAACAAGCGTTTCGCCTGAGGACTCCTCAACAAATCATGTAAAGCAAGTGTTTCGCTCGAGACATCCTCAACACATTCATTCGCCGGCCCTACGCGACTTCGTTATTAATCGAACAACATGCGCCAGCCCTGGGCAAGTTGACGGCCAGGGGCAAGGGAACACAGCTAAACGAGAACCCTGGATCGGCGCCCTTTCCAGGCATAATGGATATGAAACGAGAAAAGTCCAGCACCCCATGGGAAGGGGGCGGGACCTCTGCGGCCGCGGATTGACAGCATGATCGACCCACGAGCCTAGAAGGGGGTTGTGAGTTCCGGGACGTGGAAAAGGTTCCAGGCGCGGGCAACGGCAGTGCTGACGATATCAATGGTGATGCCACTGTGCCAGGGGCTGTGCTGTGCTTCTCTGCGCTGTGCCGCGCCGCACAGTGACGTGCCACGCTGCACTCGTCCCCCGCTCTGGGGCGTCAGGAACCCACGTGTTCTCACGCGGTGCCCCACTCCCGCAACCAACCGGGCATCCTGGGGCGGCGAAGCCTTCAAGTTCTGCAGAACGAGGAGGAGGAGGAGGAGGAGGAGGAGGAGGAGGAGGAGGAGGAGGAGGGGGAGGAGGAGGAGGAGGAGGAGGGGGAGGAGGGAGGAGGAGGAGGAGGAGGAGGAGGAGGAGGAGGAGGAGGAGGAGGAGGAGGAGGAGGAGGAGGAGAGGAGGAAGGAGGGGAGGGAGAAGGAGGAGGAGGAGGAGGGGGGCGTTTCGCTCGAGACGTCCTCGACACTTCTTCGCGCAGGGCGCGCCATCCTTGAGCGGGCACGCGCGATGCCAACGCCTGTTCATTCTCTGCGCGATTCTCAAAACCTCCAGACGTTGTTACTCGTCGATTCTGCGTAACACGTTGTGCACGTTGTGCAGTTTTTTGGCGAGAGCAAGCGGGGGTTTGCGGATCTTGTTTTTAATCGAGGATCCGAGGTGGGGTGTACATTTGCCTGGAGCGGGCAAGAGCGAAACACATGTTTTAACATAAAAGGTGACTTGATTTCGATATTTACCGCAAGCAATCTGCCAGCCCTACGCGAAGTTCTGGCACTGGGGATAGAGATACATACATATATATATATATACATATATAACCATCCTAAAGAGAATCCTGAGCTCAAGCCCTATTCAGGGACAAGTTAACATCGTCGCATGTCTTGGTTACTGCCGGAGACGAAGCCAGAAGCAGGCATCGCCCCCCGGGCTGGGCTGGAGGGAGGGAGGAGGGAGAGGGCGAAGAGGGGGAGCGTGAGGAGGCGGGACAAGAGCGGGCTTGATGGTGGGGGGGAAGGGTGCAGACTGGGGAAGAGGATGATTGCATGACTGGGAGGGGGAGTGGGCGTAGGAGCAGGGGGTACCTGGGAAGGGGGTGTTTGAGGCTCGGCGCCAATCGGACGACGGAAGATGATGGGATTGTCTGCGCGGAGATTGGTGCGTAAGCTGCCCGCGTAAGGTCTTGCGCAAGCGCCCTCGTTTCCAATGTGGCGTGCCACGCTGGCGGCCCGCGTAAGCCGCGGCGTAATGTCGATGTGTCGTTTCGCGTATGGCCCGTTTTTTGTTCCTCGCCCTTGTTTTGCCGCAGCCAGTGCAAAACATGATCAACCCACGAACCCGGAAAGGAATTTCAGATTGTGAGGCCTGGAGACGTCCCAAGCACCTCAGTTGGGCGATGGGCAGTGGCGATGCTGATGATATCAATGGTGATGCTACTGTGTCATGCAGCTGTCTTGTGCTTCTCCGCGCTGTGCCGCGCCGCACAGTGACGTGCCAGGGGATGCGTCACAGAACGTGTCAGCGGACGTGCCAGGGGACGCGCCGCGCGATGTGCCCGAGGGACGCGCCACGGGACGCGCAACGGAGCGTGCCAGGGGGACGCGCCACGGAACGTGCCAGCGGGACGCGCCGCGCAACGTGCCCAGGGGAGGCGCCAGGGAAAGTGCCACGGAACGTGCCCGAGGGTCACAATCCCTCGGAAATTACGTGGGCGGTGGGCGATGGGTAGTGGCAATGCTGAAGATATCCATGGTGATATGATACTGTGCCAGGGGCTGTGTTGTGCTTCTCCGCGCTGTGCCGCGCCGCACAGTGACGTGCCAGGGGACGCGCCACGGAACGTGTCAGTGGACGTGCCAGGAAACGCGCCGCACGATGTGTGCGGCAATGCTGAAAGTATCGATCGTGATGTACTGTGCCAGAGGTTATGATGTGTTCCGTGCTGAAATTAGATGCGTCATGCCGCGATGAATTGCGTTGTTCTCTGTAGTGTTGTGGATCAGTTCGCCCCTGGAAACCGAATCCTGACCGAACTGATCTGGATCTTAAGCTCGAGCTGCCTGAGCGAACAGCTGGCCCAAGGATGGTTGCAATCGACATGTGTTGGACGCTCAAACAGCTCAGGCTCAAGATCCGATCTAGTTCCGAAGCGGGACGATACGACACGGAGCGCAGGGCGCATGGACGCGCCACAAGAGGTGCCAGGGGCGCACTAGGGGATGCGCCAGGGGACGTGTCAGGGGACGTGTCAGCGGACGTGGCAAGAGACGTGCCACAGAACTGGCAGGGAACGCGCCAGGGGACCGTTTTCACGCTTGCCCCGCTTCGGGGCGTTTGTACTCCACGTGGTTTCACGCTTGTCCCGCTCTGGGGCGTTGGGGCCCCACCCGTTTTCACGCTTGCCCCGCTTTGGGGCGTCAGGAGCCCACGTGAGTTCACGCTCGTCCCGTTCCGGGGCGTGCGGAACCCACGCGTTTTCCCGCTTGTCCCGCTCTGGTGCGTTAGGAACCAGCGTGTTCTCCCGCCGGTCCCGCCCTGGGGCGTCAGGGCCCCGAGCCTACGTGTTGTCCCGCTTGTCCCGCTCTCGGGCGTTGGGGGCCCATGTGCTTTCACGCTTGTCCCGCTCTGGAGCGCTAGGAACCCATTGTTTTCACGCTTGTCCCGCTCCGGGGCGCCAGGAACCCATGTGTTTTCACGCTTGTTCCGATCTGGGGCGTTGGGAGCACACGTATGTATTTTCACACGTGTCCCGTTCGGGAGCGTCGGGAACCTATGCGTTTTCACGCTTGTCCCGCTGTGGGGCGTTAGGGATTTTCACGCTAGTCCTGCTCTGGGCCGTTCGGAACCCACGTGTTTTCACGCTTGCCTTGCTCTTGGGCGTTATGAACCCATGTGTTTTCACTTTCGTCCCTCTCTGAGACGCTCGCTTGGGCAATGTTTTCGAATTCGCGTAATACGAAAAGGGTTCGAGCCTTACGAGAGGAGCAATCTATCAGACAAAACAAGCGTTACGCTCGAGAGATCCTCAACACATTCTGCAGGCCAAGCGTCATTTTACCATGTGTTTTATCGTCGTAGTTTGCAAAGTAGTGTTTCGGCTGGGACATCCTCAAAGTTGAATACGCCAGCCCTCTTCGACTTCGTTTTTTATCGAGCGGAACTCAGATGGCCCTCTTCGAATTTGGCACAGGTGATTGCGGAACACAATTGACACAGAACCCTGGGCTGGAGCCCTTTCCGAGGAAAGGGCGGAAGGATGCAGAACGGAGGATGGCCGGCAAGGTGCCCGCCGAGCCGGGGTGCTACGTATTCACGCCGCAGGGTTGCCCCCAGAACAGCCTGTTCCAGAAGGAGTCTACCACCAGGTGGCCTCGAGACGCATCCGCTGGAGATGAAGAGGAGTAGAGGAGGAGGAGGAGGAGGAGGAGGAGGAGGCAGAGGAGGAGGACGAGGAGGAGTATAGGAGGAGGAGGAGGAGGAGGAGGATGAGGAGGAGGAGGAGGAGGAGGAGGAGGCGGAGGAGGAGGAGGAGGAGGAGGAGGAGGAGGAGGATAGGAGGAGGAGGAGGAGGAGGAGGAGGAGAAGGAGGAGGAGGAGGAGGAGGAGGAGGAGGAGGAGGAGGATAGGAGGATAGGTGGATGAGGGCAGGAGGAAAATTGTACGATGTGGGTGAACTGGCGGGTAGGACGAGCAGGATGATGATGAGGAGGAGGAGGAGGACGAGGATGAGTATGATGATGCTGCTGCTGATGATGTTGATGATGATGATGGTGATGGTGGTGATGATGATGGTGATGATGATACTAATGATGATGACGATGATGATTCTGCTGGTGATGATGATGACGATGATGATGATGGTGGGGGTGGTGATGATGATGATGAGGAGGAGGAGATGGAGGAGGAGGAGGATGGAGGAGGAGGAGGTTGAGGAGGAGGAGGAAGACGAAGACGAAGACGAAAACGAATACGAAAACGAAGACGAAGAGGAATACGAATACTACTAATAAAATACCAAGAATAATAATCATGAGCAGAACCACACTCATACTAATATTAATAAGCATAAGCGTATTACTAAACGAATATTAATATAACGTATTACGAACACGGATGACTAACACTATTGCTAACAATGTGTGATACTAATGCCAGTGCTGCTAATAATAATCGGACGAATCCTAATAACACTCAGAAGACGACTAACACCACTGCTAGCAACAATGATACTAATACTGCTCATCAGAATAATAGCTCCATACAAGCTTTTACCACTAATAATAGGGATAAGCATACGAGTAGGAATATTATTACTAACAGTACTAAACACCACGGATACGAATACGAGTAACCACAACATTTCGAATGCTACGAGTACTACTATTAAGACATATGAGAATTCATAAAACGAATACTACGAATACGCATACACACATATTTATATATAGATATCAGGCAATCTACTATTACGAATAATCATGATACTACTAATACACATTAAACGAATAAAAAAGACATGGCCGACCCACGAACCCGGAAAGGAATGTAGAACTGTGAGGCATGGCAACGTTTCAAAGACACCTGATAGGGCGACGGGCAAATGCAATGTTGAGTGTAACGATTTTGATGTGCCGTGCCGAGGGCTGTGCTGTGCTGCGCCGTGCTGAACTGCGATGTGCCATGCCACGATTGTGCTCTATAGCGTTGTGGATCGAGTCCTTCCTCCTTTGCATCCGAGTCCTGACCGAACTGATCTGGATCTTAAGCTCGAGCTGCCTGAACAGGATCCTGGTGCATACGTGTTCGTTGTTGCCCCCCCCAGGAAGCGGGGAAACAAGTGTACACCACATAACCCCGACCGTCGTCCCCGAGCTAATTGATAGGGGGGAATGCTCGGAGGACGCGCCACGGAGCGTCCCAAGGGACGCGCCAGGCGACGTGCCAGGGGACGTGCCATGGGGACGCACCGCGGGACGTGCCAGGGGGACGCGCTACGGAACGTGCCAATGACCGTGCCGCGGGACGTGCCAGGGGACCGCGTGACGTGCCAGGGAGATTCGCCAGAACGTGCCAGGGACCGTGCCACGTTGCAATGCTGAGCGTATTGGTCTTGATGTACCGTGCCGAGGGTTGTGCTGGGCCTCCTGGGGCGTTAGGAACCCATGTGTGTTTCATGCTTCTCCCGCCCTGGGGCATTAGGAACCTATGTGTTTTCAAGCGTCTCCCGCCCTGGGGCGTTAGGAACCCATGTGTGTTCACGCTTCCCCCGCCCTGGGGCGTTAGGAACCCATGTGTTTTCACGCTATTCCCGTCCTGGGGCGTCAGGGGCCAATGTGTTTTCAAGCTTCTCTTGCCCTGGGGCGTTAGGAACCCATGTGTGTTCACGCTTCCCCCGCCCTGGGGCGTTAGGAACCCATGTGTTTTCACGCCTCTCCCGCCCTGGGGCGTCAGGGACCCATGTGTTTTCAAGCTTCTCCCGCCCTGGGGCGTTAGGAACCCATATGTTTTCACGCTTCTCCCGCTTTGAGACGTCAGGGACCTATGTGTCTCACGCTTCTCCCGCCCTGGACCGTCAGGAACCATGAGTTTTTTACGTATGTCCCGCCTTGGGGCGTTAGGAACCAATGTGTTTTCACGCTTCTCCCGCCCTGGGGCGTTAGGAACCCATGTGTCCACGCTTCTCCCGCCCTGGGGCGTCAGGAGCCCATGTGTTTTCACGCTTACCCCGCCCTGGTGCGTTAGGAACCAATGTGTTTTCACGTGTGTCCCGCCCTGGGACGTCAGGAACCCATATATTTTCACGTTTGTCCCGCCCTTGGGCGTTAGGAACCAATGTGTGGTCACGCTTCTCCCGCCCTGGGGCGTTAGGAACCCATGTGCTTTCACGCTTCTCGAGCCTCCTGGGGCGTCCAGGGGGGAGGGGGAAGCGAACGAATGTTTTCCGAACGCATATCCCAATACAGCACCTACGTAACAACCATGTTAGATACCTACCTCGGTGGTCTGGACACGTAAAAGCACGTGGCTCCAGCTCGGGACAACCATGTTAGATATCCCTTTGGGTGGCCTGGACTTGTAAAAACACGTGGTTCCAGCTCGGGACAACCATGTTAGATACCCTCCTGCGTGAGACATTCTCGTAATGTCTTCCCTGGAGAGGCCCCCAAAGCGCCCCCAGTCCAGAGCAAGAAAACATCAGTTTTCTGTATTCGGATATGTGTTCGGGTAGCGCTTTTCGGCCCTCAGTGCGTTTCCTGAAAATTCGGCGTTGGGCTCGACGACGCCATGTTAGATACCCCCTTGGGCGGCCTGGATGTAAAAACACGTAGTTCCAGTTCGGGACAATAATGTTATAAACTTCATTGGGTGGCCTGGATACGTAAAAACACGTGGATCCAGCTCTGGGCGACCATGTTAAATACACCCCTGGGTGGCCTGGACACGTAAAAACAAGTGGTCCTTGCTCGGGACAGCCATGTTAGATACGTGGCTTGGACACGTAAAAACACATGGTGCCAGCTCTGAGCAACCATGTTAGATACGCCCCTGGGTGGCCTGGACACGTTAGAACACGTGGTCTTTGCTCCGGACAACCATGTTAGATACCCCCTGGGTGGCCTGGACACGTAAAAGCACATGGTGTCAGCTCGGGACAATCATGTTAGATACACCCCTGGGTGGTCTGGACACGTTAAAACAAATTGTCCTTGCTCGGGACAATCATGTTAGATACCCCCCTGGGTGCTCTGGACACGTAAAAACGTGGTTCCAGTTTGGGACAATCGTGTTAGATACCCCACTGGGTGACATCTAAAAGCACATGGTTCCAGCTCAGGACAACCACATTAGATACCCCCATGGGTGACCTGGGCCTTCGTGGGGCTTCCTGCAGAGGGCCAACCTGTGGCAACATACGTAAAAGCACACGGATTCGTGCCCCTGGAGAGGGCCAATCTGTGAGAACACTTTTGTAAAAACATACCGATTCGTGCCCCTGACCCAGATGTGTCCCGCTCCTTGTGTTTTATCGATCGGAATTTCAAAAACCAGCGTTTCGCTCGGGACATCCTCGAGGTTTACTTCGCCAGCCCTGCGCGACCTCGTTATCTACCGCAAGTGAATTCGCCGGCGCTACGCAAGTAAGGCCCGACACACGGTTTACCTACTAAAAGAGAAGCCTGGGCCTACGCCCTTTCCGGGATATTAATAATTATTAAGATAATACTATTAAGAACAGTAGCACTAATATTATGAATAAGAGGAGGAGGAGAAGGAGGAGGAGGAGGAGGAGGACGAAGAGGAGGAGGAGGAGGATGAGGAGGATGAGGAGGAGGAGGAGGAGGAGGAGGATCGCTGCCTGTGATGCATAGTTGGTCGCCCTCGACCGCTATCGACATGAGACCTATGTGCTCATGGCCTCCCATAACTCCACATGCTATTGCTATATCTACATCACTCAGGGAGCGAGCGATTGGTTCGGATCGAGTAGGTTCCGAAGTGCGTCCAGTTCGGTTCGGCTCGGCGTCGGAATTTTCCGGTTCGGTTTGGTTCGGTTCGTCGTTGTGAGGGTTGCTGCCCGGTTCGGCCCGGTTCGTCATACGTTTGGTTCCGGTTCGGCCCGGTTCGCCACGAAGCGCGCCCCGGGGTTCTTTTTTTCGGGCCCCCCGGGCCTCCGGGACTTGCCCTCAGGACCCAGTGACTTATTCCCAGGGCGCTTGGACTTACCCCTGGGGCCCCGGGACTTACCACCCCCAGGGCCCTGGGACTTCCCCCCAGGGCCCTGGGGCTTGCTCCAGGGACTTACCCCTGGGACTTACCCCGGGGCCCCAGGATTTACCCGCAGGGACTTATCATCCCCGGGGCCCCAGGGCCCGGGGACTTCCCCCCAGGGCACTGGGGCTTGATTATCCTTAGGGCCCCGGGATTTACCCAAACGGCTCTGGGACCTGCGCCCAGGGCCCTGGTACTTCATTTTTTCGAGGCCCTCGGGCCTCCTCCGCGACTTCCAAAACAGCTCCGGGACTGTTTTTTCAGGGCCTCTCGGGTCTCCAGGACTTCAAAAACGGCCCTAGGACTTTTTTTTCTGGGCCCTTCGGGCCTTCGGCATTTCCAAAATGGCCCC